AAGCGATAACCGATTAACGAAGTCGCCCATGGGGGGAGACAAACGAACACTGGAAATTATTGAGAATACCTGTAGCTCGGGATGTGGATGAAAAGATTGTCCTGCTCTCCGAGCTGGGCGTTTCTGTTGCAGACGTTGCGTTACCAAACTAGGTAACATCTTCAGTGCAGCTATTTGATGCTGATTCGCGCAGTCTCGCAAACCAATGCCAGATCTGAATGGCTATTGATTGTTGCCTGCTTCGAATGTCAGCGTTCGATCGGTTCACGTGTCCGTCATGTGGGCACCTCTTCTCCTTGTCGATCTGGTGCCTAACGCTGGCTTAACTTGCAGAGCTTCATAGACACCCTCCAGCTCCAGGTGTTTGTTGATTGAGTTCCGGCCAGAATGCCAGGCCTCGAGGAACTCACGCGCTCTGCGGGTTCTTGCTCTTCCAAGTATTTCAACGTTCTCCAGATCAAACTGGTGGTTCTCGGCATCCATGTGTACCGACATTAAGGATTTCTCATCGTGGCGGCGGATGGCCAGACTGTGTTCGTGCAGTCTCGTGCCAAGTTTTCTTCCAGTCTGGCCTACATAGTACTTCTCACAGTTCTTGCAGGAAATTTTGTAAACCACACCCGATGTTCCTTTCTTAGACAGTCTGTCCTTTACCTTAAAAAGTTTATTCCGTATGGTTTCCGTTGCTTCGTGTGCAACAGTTATCCCGTGAGGCATTAGAAGCCTCGCTGCCATTTCAGAGATCCCATGGATGTAAGGTAGGATAATAGTTCTTCTTTCTGTTGCACATGTGGACGCGGGTGGTGACTGGCTCTTCGACATCAGGCAGCGTAGAATAAAGCTTCTAGGGTATGAATTTCGCTGAAACATGTTAAATAGGTGGTCCTCCTCCGCCTTCCACAGTTGCGGCGTGCTACAATGTGTCTGGGCCCGTTTGAAAAGCGTCCTCACGCAACTTCGCTTGTATGTGGTCGGATGGTTACTGCGATAGTTTAAGATCTGATCGGTGTGGGTCGCTTTCCGATAAACTGTTGTTTCCAGTGACCCAGAAGCATGTCTTCTCACGAGCACGTCCAAGAATGGCAACTGATCATTGTTCTCTTCCTCTTTGGTGAAATGGATGCCGAAAAAATATTGTTGATTAGTTGATGTGATTCTTGTAGTCTGGAGCGTTTGAGGATGACAAAAGTATCATCTACTTAACGTACCCAAAGTTTGGGCTCCACTATTGGCAATGCCTTCTCTTCCAAGCTTTGCATCACTGCCTCCGCTACCAGTCCAGAGATTGGCGATCCCATTGGCGTACCCGTTATCTGTTTGTACATTTGACCGTTGAAAGTGAAATGTGTGGTGAGACAGAAATCAAGCAACTCCATCATTTGTGTGGCTTCAATTCGGTTGCTGGTATTTACCGCTCCGTGTTGTTCAAGCAGAGTCCTCATTGTTTGCCTTGCCAGTGTCGTGTCAATTGATGTGAACAGAGCTGTAACGTCAAAAGAGACCATTATCTCGTCTCTTTCTATTGTTATTCTCTTAAGTTTTTCAAGAAATTGTTCTGCCGAATGGATTGAGTGCTCTGAGCCTGCGATTAGATGTTTCAACCGTTTCCAAAGTTCCTTAGACAGCTTGTAATTTGGTGCCCCGGGTAATGACACGATAGGGCGAAGCGGTACCCCATTTTTGTGTACTTTAGGTAGGCCGTAGAACCGTGGTAGAACTGAATCCTTGGGTTTCATCTTGCTGTGTTCTAACTTCGTGATCTGTCCCATTTGTTCCAATCTTTGAAGAGTTTTGTTGATCTTGCTTTCCAGACGTTTTGTAGGGTCTTCACTTATCGGCTGGTAGGTGTTCACATCTCCAAGCAGTTCTTGTGCTTTCTTCATGTAGTCCGTTTTGTCCATTATTACAGTAAGACGTCCCTTGTCGGCCGGTAGAATAACAATAGTCTTGTCTTTTCTGAGGTTTGTCAGTGCCTTTCGTTCGTTTACACTGAATATGTTGGTTTCCACTTTGTGACTCAGAGCGGGGATGATGCTGTGTCTAATTGCATGTTGGGCTTCAGTTGTGATGTTTGATGTGGTCAGCGTTGATTCAAGTGCGGCAAGGAAATCAATGGGATTGGAACCTTTGTAATTGACTTGCAAACCTCGCACAATAACTGCTCTTTCTGTATCTGATAGGGTTCGTTTGGATAGATTCTTAATCCATGCGTCTTCTTCGTTTGCTGGTTTTTGTTGCGAGATTCTGTCCAACTTCCTTTCTAGTTTCTGCTTTGTTTGGAATTTGGTCTTATGGGTACTAATGGCAACCGCTTTCTCAAGCTCTCTGGTTAACTGTTCCCCGAGGTTGGACAAACAAATGGCCTTTTCTTGGTCGATTACTCGTTGATACTTTTGCCATCGGTTGTGTGCATCCGTGATCAACAGACGCAGCATTCGTCGTCCATGTTGTTCTGTGATCTTCCAGGCCAACGGACTGTTGACGGGTGGACGATAGTGCATACTTGGTGGTAGGACATGTCTTCGCAAACACTCGTGCAGGAAGTAGAGTTGCTCGTGAGTGGAGGATTGCCGGTTAGCAAAGGTCTCCCATCGGCGAGCGGATTTTAGCGCCTCGCGCCCGAATTGTTTGGAAATTATTTTCACAAACGAACACTCACTAACTTCGTGTCAACGCCACACGTGGAATCCTCTTAGTTTTTGGTTGGTCATTAACTGTGATAGAAGTAAGCAAACATAGAAATTTCGTTGTTCAGCTTCAGGTTGGGCTACCAACTTCAGTGTGATAAATATCCCCCATGATCGTCGCAATAACAATTGCACAAAATTGTCTAACCGCCTAGCAGCCATTGCTGATTCAAGTTTGGGTTTGCGGTGTCCAAGTCACGGCGCATGCGTGACCAACCGCAAATGCAAGCCTACCTCGCTCCCTCAGATCTCAGAGACTACGGAATACCAGTTAGAAGATTGTCTGTCTACGTCACCGTGGTTAGGCCGCTGAATAAGCCACCACCAGGTAGCCGCTAGCGATCACTAAGTATAAACCGCTTCATGTGCTGGTTAGTATGTCTGTACGCACTGGTTACGGCGTAAGCATCGGATCATGTGGTATCTAAGATCTCCTCCTTAGACAGGCATCACAAGTTGCCCATTGGGCGGTTTCAGTTTGGAGACCAATCATCGAGGTTTACTTCAGATGGGCATCAAGACAGTACAGAAGGTGGTGTTCGACTACTTTTATTGGATTGTCTGTCGCTTATGCTCGGGACTTCCAACTCATTCCTACTCAGGTGGTGCAGGCTGAAATATTACCAGTTAGTTTAGTGGCTGAGGTAGGAAACTCGATCGCAGCGCTAATTGGTTTTCGATATGCTGTCTTGGATTTTCTTCCACGCGCGGTATTTTAGGCTGGAGTTAGCTTCTTCTTTAAACACTGACCTCCTTATTCGCACAAGTCTGGAAGGCGGAATCCATTCCAACTAGCTGGAGTGAATCGATTATCGTGACAAATACAATAACGGCAGTCGCACGGACTGTGTTAACTACTGGGGTATTAGCATGACACAGGTGAGGACAAAATTACTGGCCTAAATTCTCGTTCGACGTCTTACGGCCGAGTGAGAACCTCGGAGATCCTCGGAAGAGGAAGCAGGTTTCCGCACAGGACGTGGCAGGTGATAGAGAATCGCCAGGCATATCGCAAGCCGAAAAAACTGCGTCCCTCGAACTTAAGAGTGTGTTCGATGCATTCGATCGATACATTTTGTTCGAGATGCTCGTGCGTAAAGGGGTTCTCATGGAATATATGAACATTTTACGTGTCCTGTACTCGAATACCACAGGCCGCGTCAGGGTCTACGGCGACCTGTCTGAAAGCTTGCCGACAACCGTCAGCGTTCTTGAGCGTTGTAGTGTTTCCCCAATTTTGTGCACTCTCGATGTGGACTCCATTATTGAGCGCTCCCATGCGTCGAGGTTCTGTCTGGCGGAAAGCTGGTTGATTTTGATTATGCAGGGCGATCTGTCTAGCTGTTTAACGGTACTGAGGCGGCCCAGTCAGACCGGAATAATCTCTCTAGATTGGTCCCATCATCTGGCGCGCATTACATTTTCAACTTGCAAGGTGTTATTGCAAGACCATCAAACACGTAATTACCCCTTGACCACTGATAATTAGGAAGTTGAAGTAATTGATCAGATCACCTACCTTGGCAGCTGCATCAGCAACGATTGTCGTATAACAACTGAAGTTAGCTCACGTATTCCGAAAACTAGAACTGCCTTGTGTAATCTGCGACATCTCTGGCATCAGAAATCAGTTTCCCGTCGATCTGAACTGCCGCGTTTAAGAGGCAAAATTAATGGGAGTGAAACTTGGCCCTTTCGATCTGAGGAAAAGTGCCACCTTTAAGTCTGATAATCGCTGCCTGTGAAGCATTGCTGGTGCCAAATGGCACCAGCGTATCCGGAACGGTTATGTGGGGCGGGGAGTCTTAGGAGGTGATTATAAGGCCAGTGGTTGTACGGCAACGAAGCGTCAGTTCAAGTGGTTGATGTAATGTGTTTGATGCCGATGATGATGTATAGTTTACGTAGGTGAAGTACGGAAATCGTTACATCATGGCTGTGGTGTTTAGTTAACCAACATTGCCTAACGTCACCACCAGAATGTGGTGAGTTGAGCACACAAATCAGTTACTGGTCAAGCGGTAGTGAAACATAGCCTTCGCGACACTCTTACTTCCGATACATTCCGATTTTCTATGCTACCTAACCTCAGAAAATAATGGACCGAGAGCGCTAGTGGACGGAAACCAAGGCAGAGAATCAACACATGTATTGTGGGTGAAATATGTTATGCCTAACCATTTCCTTTAAACTGTTTCGGATGCATGCACAAATTGATAAGACTATTCTGTTGGACTGTGCTTCGCATTGTCGAGAAATAAAACGTTTATTTCTTTATTTACTAAACACCGTGGTACCACTCACGAAACTCACTTTCAAGCTGAACCAAAATGCATCCGAGGACAGGCACACGCACAACGCAGCCGCTCCTGCAATCTCGGTGTAGGTAATTCCAATTAGAGCACTGTTTGGATCAATATGTAATTGCTTGCTCACATTGAAAATGGTTCGTAATTGCTGCCTAATGGAAACCCAGCAGCACAGGTGCAATGTGATTGGCTTGACCCTATCCACCTTCTTGAGAGATGCGACTGCCAGATAAAAGTAGTTCACAGGACCACTATTCGAGGGGCTTGGAATGCGCCTTGGTGACTCGCTTCTGGGATAAGGATCCGTATCACGGCAGGGGCAGACACAACAGACGTAGGAAGGTGGTAAACGAGGTTCTCTATCTAGCTGGAGAGGAAAGCGAGAGGTAAAGACAAATAAAAAATGAATAAAAGAACGTGATAACTTAGCTCAGAGAAATGGGCAGTCGCAAAAGTCAGCCACTCAGAGACAAGCGTTCGTTCAGCAAAGAAAAACCAGTGAAACTTACAGCATTCTTGACTTGTAGTTCGCCGCAACGTGCGTTGTTCGTATACTTTCCTAAACACCTTCGTGCAGATGAAGTTAGCCATTTGATTCAGTTAAACCACGGGTCACCAAACTACCGCCGCGGGTAGGATCCGGCCCGTGACGTCAGTTCATCCGGCCCGCCGACCGCACCCGATATAGCTTACTAAACCTGGTGCACAGGAGACGCTCTGGTACAATTTAAATTTGACACTGCATGTTATATTGTCAGTGACCTTACACTGAACACTAGCGTGAGACATCCCAAACTTGTTGCATGTGACACGGTATCACCGTACAATTATTGACCCCACATCGTTGGAACATTGATGTGAGTGAGCATGCATGAAACCAATTCATTCGTGCCCCCTGCCGTGTTTCTGTTTACCTCACGCCTTTGTGCCACAATATTTGGATTAGTCTGTTCACTTGAAGGACGCGTCAGATATACTGCCACTAGGTTATACGTGTGTCATTTTGGGGCCATAATTAGAACGAATTGCAGGCTGATAGTACGGAATTGCGACGGAAGCGTAAATTGTTGAAATCTATACATTGTGGTATTACTAAATGCGTGTTCCCCAAGTGGTCCTTGCTCCTCAGTTTTTCTGACGTTTCAATTGTCTTTAAATTACGTTTTTAATACAGTAATTTTTTGTTCAGATTCAAATTATTGCAGTCTTTACTAAAGCTACTTAGAAAAGAAATGCGGACACCGAATATCATGTTTTCACTGCCTTTAACCTCAGAGATTATATTCCGGCTGACGAGTATTTTACATAATGATTATGCGGCCGACGCCAACCATTTTGTTAGTTATCCGGTCCGCGCCATTCAATTTTTCTAATTAGCCGACACGCAGTGAAAAAAAGTTTGGCGACCCCTGAGTAAAACAAACGACGCGGAACACACGCGGAACGCACACCAGTTTCAACAAATCACGGAAGCCGTTCAGATGGACGATTAAACCTCTTTCCAACGACTGCATCCGTTAGGTTCCTCTCTCACTGGCTGTTTGACTGCTTCCAAGGGTCTCTGTTCCCCCTGAGAAGATACTCACCTTTATTGTGTACCAATGACTGGCACTTGGCATCCATCTTTTTGTGCGTGCTAAAAGAACGTAATCGAATTGTGGGAATCACCATGAAACACGTCAACTAAGCCAATTAATTATCGTCTGTGTCAAAGGAGTGAATTCAAACTACATGAATTATCTACGCTACAGTAGCCTCGCTTGAAAATACTCAGGTTGCAGGCAGCTCTATTTATGGGAGACCGGCGAATATGCGGAACACATGTTTACACGTTTCACCAACCAATGAATCCAAACGGTGTGGCTACTCGGGATTTAACTTCGGCAGCAAATCAAGTTCAGCAAAGACGGCCATGGAACACACTTGGAAAGAAAACTTGACTGACCTCGAAGAGGACATTAGGTAAATGAGAAGTGATAACGCACGACACTAATACTAACCTGATCAAATATATTCGTTCCCAGATCATGAACCTGACCATCCCAGCATGCGGAGGAAGGCGTTGCATTGGAGTTTGGAATAGGAAAGATAGTCCAATGACAGAGCAATATAGCACCGTACTGATCGATTATCAGAATGCTGTGACCGGGACTGCTTAAGTCGGTTTGCACCACGGGTAGCGGCAATGCATGAATGACGCTGCGACGAACGTAGAGTCTGCCAGCAGTTTGATTAGCCTGGGAAATTTGGAGTCCAACGAATGTATAAACGAATAGTAGAAGATAATGTTTAATCCTTTGAAATTAATATTTAATTAATTAAGTTCATCGTGATAACAGTTTTACTTATCTATTTATTAACATTTTCATCGTCTTCATCAGTGTCTGTGAGTGGAGTAGTTAGTATTAAGTAATAAGTTCGTGGGCCGCATTCGAGAGCAGTGGTATGTAGAATGAAGCTTTTGGAAAGCAAACTGAACCCAGTGGTCCACAAAGCATTGATGAAGCACGTTGGAAAGTAGCGCTAATGTGAAATGACATCTCACTTTAGTGATTGGTTTCAGGTGAGGATGGAGGCATCACTTAATTAAATGGGTCTTGATCAGGCTGTGAACTACGAGTCGCAAACAAAAGTTGCGAAATAGGGAATTGGTGGAGGCCTGATAAAGTCCGGTTACAGAGTTAATAGCGAGGAGAGCTAGGCGTGAAGGTGAATAGAAGATGCGATACTAACAGAGCGACAGTCCTCTTCCTTGGATACTTATATAAGACAAAGTCGAACAGACTGGAATTCAGTACTTTATTGTCGGGCCACTACACCGAAAATGAGAGGAGTGAAAAAACACCGGACAATAGTGCAAATAGATTTAACTTAGAAGTAGGTGGCTCTAAAGCGACCAAATGCATGTAGGTTATGTCGTAGCAGAATGATGGGGATCACCGTAGACTGAGCGCTTAGACAAAATTTTTGTGCACGCATAGGTCAGGATGTTGCAGCTGAATGGTGACCATTTCGGCTGCTGTCAATAGAGCATCTAACCGCTTGTGTTTAGCCTCTGGGTTAACGGCTGATGCAATGGAACGCTTTGTGAGTTTTTATATGGATGTTCGAATTTAGAAAATATACGGACACGTTGGTTGCCATGGTTTTTGCTACTCAACTATGCAGTCAAACCGTTACCGCTCATGAGCTCTCCTCGACAGTTTCCTATAACTTTTGAAAGTCTTAGGGTACAAGTATGTCGAAATCTGTCATGATCAAACCCTTGAAGCGGATAAGTCTAATCGATGAAAGTTTTACACGTAATTTCTTCTCGGAGACCATCATAAACTTTTCGTCGGAAAATAAACCAAGGAACTTACAGCTATATTATATAAAGTCATTTGCCCATCTTGTTGAACAACGCACAAGAACCCAGATGCACACTGACTCTTCATGTCCTTTGATCTTGTGGATTCCGGACTCCCGACTGACTGACTGGCTAGCGCAAATGGTATGGTAGTAATTACTGGACTGTTTGAGTATCGTTCATGATCGCGGAAAGTAACAAGCTTGGAGCGCGTCTAATGGAAAGAGAATTAAAACAAACTATTGTTATAGTTGCAGTCCAAATAAGAGGTTAACAAACTGAAATAATAATAATAATAGCAGTTTATGAATTAACAATGACCGATGTACTGCTGAAATCGGACTGCAGGGGTGTGCGCACCTTGCGAATCAAATGATCATAAAGCACAAATTTCCCCACAGATCGACCGACTGGCCAAAAGTCAACGGTACAACCTAGTTAGCAAAGTGATTGAATTTACTTTGACTAGCGCGAATAGTCCAGTTTTCACTAACGAAGGAAAAACTGAAGTTCGGTACTGAAAATATACACAACTGATATAAATACAGATGACGGGTAGTTTCACTAAACTAACCACAGCTCGTATGACACACAATAGCAAGGGTGGCTAAAATTCCTAAATGTCGGTTTGGCATCCGATTTTCGCTAAATTCCCACATAGTCGAAGGTCAGTAGCCCGAGTGAGTGCGGGCTTGAAAGTGATAGCAAGATCCTTGCATGAGATCCAAAAGAGATTGCAATGAAGTAGTGTACATTGAATTATGTACACAGTTAGTAAAAGCAAAACGATCCATTCCTGCCCCACCTAATTCTTTTGCAATAATGTTTAGGCCACATAATCATCAGCATCATCGTCATTATACACGTGTCCTAGCGGTGAGTAACGCCCCAGCTACTGTACCGCAATACATAGGAAAAAGAAAAAGACGCAACACTGGCACGCCGTTTGAGCCACTAGTAAATGATGGGCACCGTTCCCGAGAGCTAGCAACCGACTATTGTACAGTAGTCTTAAGGATCACAAGCATGGCTTGTAATCCGAGGGCTGGCACTGAACTCCTCCCGGATAGTCATGTGGTTTATTTGGATTACGCTGGGGATATCGTCCAACTTGCACGTTACCGCCTGGCGACTGAAGCGTCGAAGTATGGCGTGTAGTTTTCACCATCCAAGTGAAAAGCGCTTTTTTCAAGACTGACACTCTCAAATACACGCTACAACTCACCAACCAATGAAAACGCAAGAAGTTCAACAATCCGACGCATTATTCCGACAGCTACTCAAAAGCAATCCACCCGACTGAGCTAATCGATGAACCACCACCAATCAGGATAAGCGGCAAAGGAAGACAAAGGAACCAAAATGACCTCAACACGCCGGAACACTTTACCTATAACCGATCAGAATCAATCTGCCCCGCTGAGCTCAAAGATGTGCCACCAATTAGGATGAAGCAAACGGCTGAAGGTAAAGCAGCTGCCAGGATTTCAACACTATTCCTGCAGCCAATCGAAAGCTAACCACTCCAATGAATGCCTCGATGAACAGGATAGCAGGATAAAACGCTTTTAATGTCACCGACAGACTATATAAGGACCAGCGCGGTAACCGGGGACAACCATTCTTGGATTTCCCTGGAACGAGCTTTCGCGACCAAGGTACAACTCTGTACTGATGATGTCACCTCGATTGGTGAGTAAAAGTTTGCAACCAAATTGCCAAGCTCGGCGAATAACAGAGCATCTAAGGCATCAAACCAAGCCACCGGTATTCCAAACCGTTTTTAACCCAAAACTTGGGGAAACAGGATGAAAAAGCTAAAACGGCTTACATCAGGTAGTTCTGCTCGACTTCATGGATGAGGGTCCCAAAGATGTCGAATGCCAGTGGTTGGAAACCTTGGAAGTCAGGTCTCAACAGCAAACTCAGTGGCGGTCGTGTACCTCTGCTTGTTGCGGCGAATTTTCTTCCCTTCCCGATAAAAACATCGAAAAAGTAGTCAGGACTGTGTACGTGAAAATGGACAAACGAATATTCGTCTTCCTTCTTCTTTTACTCCAATCCGGTTTTCTTATCCCGCCGTGGTTCCGATGACTCAAGAACCGTAAACAGATTGTGATATATATGGTTGCCGACATCTGGTTTCCGATTTGTCTGTCACTGTGGCCTTCCACAGGACGCCTGCGCCTACAGAGGGACCATGGATGGTTTGCGCTGCACCACCCACAGCTCCATCCACACACCCCATATCCAGAGTAAACCCGAAGGAATAAGACCGGCAGACATGTGGATAGGAGCCAGGTTCCATCAACAGAGTTGGCCCACACTCCTTCACATGCAAACAAGCACGCTGTATTTGGGAATCAACCGCACACAAAGCGGTGGCTGGACCATATTCCACTCCAAGCTGAGTGTGTGGAACCACCGTTCGTCTAACACGCTCACAAGGACCGTGCACCCCGTTCCCTCCAGCAACGACCAACTGTCTCTTGGAGCCAGTATGGACGAGGTAGTGTGTAATAGACAGATAGGCAGCTTGTCAAGACGCACATCAAACGCAGTCATACCGGGTATATCAAGCAACAGCCAATCACTTGAAACGAGAAGATGCAATAAAATAAATCGGATAATGCATACAAACGAGAATATGAAGAAAATTGGTAACGAGCGAACACGCGATTAGCTCAAGACGTCATAAAATATATTTTAATGAAATACCACGAATGCGAAAATGTTATCGAAGTTAAGTACAATTTGCATGAGCGACGTGTGCAAGTTTATAGAAGATAGTACAGGTAGAGATTAAAAAGAGAAAGAAGAGCATTAGACCAAATTTGAAAACCCACCATCTGAAATAAGGTTACCCTGCACGCAAGCATGCGGTTAGTAAATCGAATGCAGTGTACCTACAAACGCCGCGCCGGTTCTACCTACGTTTTCTGCAGGATCCGTCGTCGCTTCGGTGGTGATCCAGACTGGCCTCGCTCATGGCTCACTAGGCCTGCCTGACTCAGGCACTCGCGACCGCATGTACTACAGCACCATGCGCTCGATGTCGATGGAGTACAATCCATCGGTGTTTGCCGCTTCCGCACTTGCCAATTCTTATCTGCATACATGAGGTCTTTCTGCCGCACTTCGGCAACTGCTTTCGTGATCAGACCGCGCCAAGCACGACGATCAACTGCCTTCCATTCCCATGACATGCAATCAAGATTAGAACGTGTGAGGCTCACTTTGATCATGTCCTGGTAACATAACTTTGGTTTCCCCACATGTCACTTCCCAATACTCAGCTGACCATATAATAGTAGTTTCAGTATGCGCACCGAATCCATATGGCTCACATGACCGAGCCACTTCAGATGTCTCAGCAAAAGTATGCAGTCCACTGCATACATTCCATTTCGAAACAACACTTCTGTGCCCGTAACTCTGTTGCCCAACCGAAGAGCAGAATCCGTCGCAAGCACTGAAGATGGAACCGCTCGAGATATCGCACATCCCGCCAGTACATCGTCCATGTTTCACTGCCGTATAGAAGAACGGAGAGCACCATGAATTTGTACACCATCAGCTTCGTGTCAATGGTAAGCTGATGGTTGTTTCACACTCGGTACTCAAGCATCCCGAATGCATCCGCTGCCTTCGAGACGCGGATACGCAGCTTACTATGCAGCTGCCGGTCAGTCGACATCACACTCCCAAGGTAGCAGAAGCGGGAGGTGGTTTCCAATACGTCAGCACCAAAGCTGATTCGCGGCAAAATTAAACATTGCACCTCGGGTGAAGGTTGAGAGAGACAGACAATTTTTCTTGTATTGATGGTGAGCCCGAATTTGGCCGCTGTCGAAGCCAGAGCACTAGTCATGTGCTGCAACTCATCAGCACTGTGTGCAAACAGCGCACAGTCGTCAGCAAACAGCAACATACGGATAGTTGTCTCACAGACTGGAGTTCTCACACCGAAACGACGGATGTTCAGCAAACCTCCATCAATACGGTGCTCCACACGAACACCGTAAGCACAAGCCGCATCAAAAACACAAGCCAGCATTGCATGAAGATATATATTAAACAGGCCAGGAGCTAAGACACAGTCTTGCTTCATACCAGAGACAACTGCAAAGTCATCCGAGGTCTCTCCACTCAGCTGCACACTCGCCCGCATACCACTATGTAAACATTCAATTAAACTTACAAACTTACGCATGCAACCAAATATACTCAACACCAGCCACAATGCCTCGCGGTTCACCGTATCAAATGCCTTGGTGAAGTCAACAAAAAGCGAGTACAATGGCTGGTGTCGTTCTCTGCACTTCTCCTGCGACTGACGAGCCGCAAACACCATATCTATAGTGCTGCGACCCGAGTTGAATCCACATTGCTCTTCCGCCACGTTCGGTTCCACAATCTGACTGACGAGGCGGTTGAGCAGGATTCGGGCAATCACCTTGCCCACACAACGCAGCAAGTTGCTGCCACGATAATTCGTGCAACATTGCTTGCTCTCTTTGCCCTTGTACGTTGGTAGCACAGGGGCATTTTTCAGATCAGGAGGCACCTCCTCCTCAATCCATACAGGTTGCATCAAATAAACCAGCGCAGTCACCAACGCGTTTCCACCGTTTTTCAATACTTCAAGTAGGATCCCGTCGGCCCAGACACACTTGCCGTTTCGCAACTGAGTAAGTGCTCTCTGCGTCTTATCCAGCGTCGGCGTTTGCCAGACTCCCCTTCACATGGGGCTGCTTGAGGCCTTTCAAAGTAGGTTAGTCGATCTCTGAACGGTTGTTCAAGTGACAGTCAGTGACAGACAGACCTTCATTATGTCTGCAATCTGTGTGCAGGTAGCGTCTGAACCACCATCGATCAGCTTTCTCAGCGGCTCCAATCTCGGTCCATACACCGCTTTCAATGAGTCAGAGAATTCCTTGTGTTAGCGGCGCTCGGCGTAGTATTCGACCTGCTTCGCCTTCTCCGTCCACTATGCATTTGTAATGCGACGAAGCTCTCGGGTCAGTGGCCGTCGAAGTTAGCGAAACTGACTCTTCTTTCTCAAGTAACTAGGGTCTGTCAAATGTGCAGCAAATGCTGCAGTCTTCTCACACACCCATGTGTCAGTCGTCGCACTGTTCTCATCAAACCAATCAGGCCGCTTACAGTTTGCACGCCCGATGGTCTCCTCGGCAGCAGCTGTCACCTGGTCGC